GAGCGGCGGCGCTCAGGGAAGGTCTCCCTTTGCGCGGCCGCAGGCGCCTGGAGCGAAGGGGTGGTGGATCACTTTCTGAGGTTGCAGCGCATCAGAGCGAGAGACGGGGCGGCCATCAGGTGGTTCCACGCCGCGAACAGCAAGGCCCGAGCCGGGGAGGCCGCGAGAAGTAAGTGTGAGCCGCAGCCGGCCTGCCCTGCCTCGGGGTGGCCGCCTCAGCGTTAACGTTGAGGGTTGACGGAGGGAGGGGGCCTGGTCGTGCTGTGAGGCGCTCCCGGTTTGTCATCTGGGCAAGGCTCCCGGTGTCTGGCTGTCCCAGCGAACCACCCGTCCGGCATCACGAAGGCCAGCAGGACAAGGTTTGGAGGTGGAGGTGGTACCCTTTTATTAGACAAACTCGTTTAGTTATGAGAAGACAACCAGCTTCCATGCGTGCGGGCCCTCTGTCAGGTCAGACCTTCAGATTAACAAAGCCCTTCATCACCTACCAGCAGACCAGAGCCATGGTTAAGGAGTCTTCTGGTTTCATGCACTCGAGCTAAGCTTGTCTGGAGTGTTCCTCAGTTCATATGTTTGCACAGCGGAACGCAAAAGCTTCTGCTGCAGGTAAAACTGTTTTCTCTGATGTGGTTGTACTGAGGTTAGACCGCAGCTCCCTGATGCGCCAGCCTGGGCAGCAGTGGTCAAGTTGTCCCTATTCTTTCCTGTTTGATCTCATGGTAGGTCACCCTTTCCATTGTGCTGACGCTTCTGTTTGTGGATCTGCTCTGGAAAAGAGAAAATGGAAATTACCTGATTAAAAGTCCGTCCCTCCCTCCCTCCCTCCCTCCCTCCCTCCATCCAATGAGGTTCGGTATCAGCGCTATTAAAAGGGCAGCAGGCAGTGGAGCAAAACCTCACAGGAAACTACCGTAGCTCTCAAGCTGGCTTTGCCCCAGGTGCCTGCCCATTTTAGCAGCAGCTGCAGTGCTGTGAGGATAGGTGTTTGTGACGGCTTTGTCAGGGCTATACTGCAAAACTGGTCCCGTCTTTCTGAAACAGTTAAGGATTTCCAGGTAGTTTTGGCCCTATATGGATGGATCTTGGATCTTGTCCGATAGGATGAGAGGAAATGGCCTCAAGTTGCGCCAGGGGAGGTTTAGATTGGACGTGAGGAAAAATTTCTTTCCTGAAAGAGTGGTTAAACATTGGAACAGGCTGCCCAGGGAAGTGGTGGAGTCCCCATCCCTGGAGGTATTTAAAAGATACGTAGATGTGGTGCTTAGGGACATGGTTTAGTGGGCATGGTGGTGTTGGGTCGACGGTTGGACTTGATGATCTTAGAGGTCTTTTCCAACCTTAATGATTCTATGATCTTCTTCTAGGTCTTTTTAGGACAGTTTGAAATTGTGTAATGTTGTAACACTCTGGGTAATATTTCTTGGATTCTACAGGAAAGTTTTATTACTGCTTTTCCCCCCTATTTTGTTCAAGATGATTAAAGTATTTCAGGTTATTTGTGAGCAGTTTATTTCAGTGAATTTTAATTTCATTTATGTGAATATTGGGGAAATACGTAATTTATTTATGTAATTTTAAATGGAATTGATTTTATTGACTGTATAATTATTATTATTATTATATTTTTTATTATTATTTCAGCCTAAGTAACTATATATTGAATTCTCTGCAAAGCTGGTAGCATTGCCCAGACGCTCAGATGTTTCTCTTTATAGAAAGCTGTTTTCAAGAGCTTGCAGCATTCCTAAGATTTCCACTCACTTGTCTTGCGTTTCAGCTACCATTTTCCTGGCAGGTGTTGCTGGCTGGCTGACTTTTTTTTAAAGTTCTGGCTGAGGTGGGTTGGTCATTTTTGAGAATGAGACAAGGGGAGTAGCTCAGTCTCTGCCGATGATAAAATCTTCCGGTCACTTTTTCTCTAAAAGGCTTTGTCTGGAACCCTGTTTTAAGAGGGAAAGATTTGAAATTTAGCAAGAGTGGGTTCACATTTTGGATATTCATTTTGCTGTTCCTCTGAAAAAAACATGATTACTTGGCCAAATGTATCTAAAAAATAAATTTTCATGTGCTTGTAGATTTCTAAAGAGTTTAGTGACTAAAGTACCCAGAGAAATGCATCTCTTGCTTCACAGACAGCAACTCATACTGGGTGATCTTTGTGGAGTAAGTGTGCACAGTCCCATGTAGAAACACTTGCCCTGTAATTGTCACTCTGAAGCAGACACTGGAAGTATTGGATCTGCTTCTGTTAGAGCATTCATTTTTCTAAATCAACAGGTGATGTTCACATGATAGAGGCAGATGTTCTTCTTCGTGGTGGCAAGGGAGGAGATGGAGACCCTATCATGGCTCATCCACCTGAAACAGACAGTGACAACACATTGCAGGAATGGCTAGAAGAGATTGTCAACACAAATAAAGGCATCAAGCTGGATTTTAAGAGGTATCTCAAGTCAAAAAGATTTTAAATTGTTTGCGTTCTTACTAATTAACAATTTTACAGGTAGTGCTAACTATCTTTTGGTGACGGTAGACCAAACTTTTTCTTACTGTGCAATTTAGTGTAATGCATTCCTTCCTGAACAGAAAATGAGGAAACATGATCAGTATTACTAAATGCATTGCTAGAATAAAAGCTTTAGAAGTGTTTTGAACTACAAATAATGATTTCATATTCAGTGAATTAGTTACTGAGTTGCTATTGAGCAAAGTTTTCCCATTGGGAAAACTGAAACGATAGCGCCTATTTGGAAAGCTCCTATCAGTTTTCTGCTTGTGCAAAGAAACTGGGAAAGACAGCCTTCCGACTGGGAAGCCAGACAGTGGCTCCCAGGCTGCAAATGGGGCTGAGCCCCCTGGGTCTCTCTGCCTGGCAGCACAGAGGTCTCTCCGGCTGTCACCCAGCTTTCGTGGTGTCATTCTCTTCCATGGAAGGGGAATGAAAGTGTCAAGGTTTTTCAAGGAGCTTCTGAAAAGCTTGCTGAAAAGCCAGCTCCTCTTCCAGGTCTGCTGAAGTTCATAATAATTTAGAAATGTCATCCCATACCAGCATGAATATCTTTATTTTCGCAGAGCTTTCCCCTCCCCACCCCCTGAAGGAGAGGAATACTGTTTCCTGATCAGCTCCAATACTAACAATGTATCGGGGATGTCTCAATTCAAGAATTAGGTGTATCCCTTTGAATATCTGATCTCCTACTACTTATGATGTGGTGTTAGATTTCTTCAGCATGGTTTGTAATACAAAAAAGTTGTCTTGCTTTTTGTGTGGTAAGGTGCATGTATATTGAAGTAAATTCAGTTTCCTTGGCCTAACTTATTAATTAAATTTTCAGAGGTTCATTTAGAATTTTAACCATTAGCTGTTTCATTGTCTTTAATGGAAAATACACCTGAAAGCCTCAAGAGAGATTGCCTTGAAAAGTTTGAAATGGGGTTCAAAGTGAGCTGTGATTTTCAGACATACACCTCTGCAACTCCTAACTTTAGCTTTGTCTGAATTTGCATGTACAATGTCTATTTTTGCAGCAGATGGAGAATCCACCTCCGCATTAAAAAGAGCTTAATCAATGCCTAAGTATGCTATAGAAATGCAAAAAAAAAAGCTAGATAGTTGTAAAATGTGATTTGTACCTGTTGTTCTGTTTATTGCAATCACAGTTTTCATGTGAAAGTTCATGAAAATACAAAAGATGTGGGCAGGCTAAGTTGTTTTACTGTTACAGAATCTGTAAACGTCTGGCCGGACAGAGAAGGGAAAGGACAAGAGAAGTAGGCATTTGTTTGGGTTTGTTTGTTGGGTTTGGGTTTGTTGAGGTTTTTTTCACTTCAATTATTGTTTAATTTCAAAACATCTACCTCTTAGTTTTCCACAAGGAATTTCCAGCCAAGTGCAGTGATTTAAAAAAGCTTTTAAAATTATGTTGCATTAAAAAAGTCTAATTGTATAAAAGCATTTGAAAAGTACAAGCACACAGTGCGGATATAGTCAAATGAGTGATAACAGAAATTGATGTTCTTTTGGATAATATTTCTTTGAATACCATTGCTGAAGTTTTGAAGATTATTTCAACAGTGCTTAAAAAGAAATATTTTGTATATTTCTACTCTGTCAGCTTGATTGACTACATAATCACATTTCCTGCTGGCTTTATCTACAGGAATGAATGTATTCTGCAAAAGGACTTCAGAGTCCTGCTTCAAAAATGCCAGAGTCAGTCAACATGGAGTCAGCAACACGTTTGAATTTTCCAAATGCTGTGCAATAAAAACAGTGTTCTTGGGGGAGGTGGAGGGGGGTATTTCAAGAGATGTTGCTTGTACTTGTAGTAAAAAGGAGGGCATTCCACTGGCTTTGACAGTCCCTTGCATACGGGAAAATCTGAACTGTTCTGGCCTCAGACAATGTGAGAAATACTTAAGCCAATAATGTTAACTCAAGCCATCACTAGCTTTTCTCTAAGAAGAGTTGAGCTAGTACTGACTGATAGTGTTGAGTGGAATTCCTGCCACTATGCAGCTTTCTCAACAATGCAGAAGTTAAAATGTACAAAATTACTTTTCACAGGGAACAACACAGGCAGCTCGGGGGACAATTTTTGGCTTTAGAGCTAACCTAATGTAACGGCTGGCTGCCATTCCTATTTTTGGCCACAAATCCTGACACGATTCGTCTGACCTCATCATGAACCAGGTTAGGGAATAACTTGGTACAGAACCATCCCTACAAAACAATGAGAATAGTTGTTTACCGGTTTATGTCCCTGAACGCACACACTGCTGCTAAGGCAAGCATCAGCACTGGTGTAAGAGGCTGGAGATAAACAGCTAGGAACTGGGAAGATGTGGTAGCAGTTAACCATCATCTGTGGTGTTCAAACAGGAACCCGTGCAGCATGTAGCCTGTGGTTTATATCCGTGTAAGCTGGAGCGGTTGTGGTCCTCTCCTTGCTCTTCACAGTGCCTTCTCTTCCCCTTCCTTTTCCTGGTGCTCCTGTGACACCCGGAGGGACCAGTTTAGGATGTTGAACAGGGAAACTCACCCTGCAGAACAATATGAAGAATTTTCTGTTGGCTCAGCTCTGCATCAGGTCACTGCAAGATTTTGAGGAAAAGCTAGAAGATGGCTTATTCAGAGGTTTTCACGACTCGCGGGAGAAAACACAGGTCCTTGCAATTAGTAAGGAAATCACAACTCTGACCATAATGATTTTAAATTCCTGAGTGTTATATAATGAGTGTTAGTTAATTTGCTGTGAGAGAAAAAATACACATTTTCTTGGCATTCATTCCTTTTCCCCATTATTCCACATTTCTTTTCCTTCCACAATACTGCTGTTTAGAAAGTTTTGGTAGGATGGAGAAAGGTTATTGTTTGCCTTCTAATTATGCTTTTTCTTTTGATTTGAGCGAACAGTGAGAATATGCAACTTAAGATATTTTGTTAAATGCTTAAAAGTGGTGCCGCATTGGTTGCTTAAGTGACTACGTCTCATACTTAATAATTAGCTGTAGGATGAAGATCTGATGGGCAGACTTCTTCATGCTGCCACTACTATGCCGCACTTTTGAGCTGTGGGAACAACCACTACAAAGGTGGTAGAGCCTGCAGTGGCTTCCTTAATTAAAATCCTTCCTAAGAGTTCAATAACATCCAAGTCTTAACAGGTCAGGAGTTAGAAGAGCCGTCAGTTAAGAGCCATGAAGCAGTTCATATTGGGCAGCAGGGAGACAAGAGGTTTACGCTACTTTACACCAGCAGTAATAGTCACCTTATGGTGGAAGGGGTCTTCAGCATTTGCTCTCTGGCTTACAGGGACAGTTTCATTAACATACCCATCTATATATGTACTGTACATTCCCGTCTTCAGTCAGAGTGAGGTGTCTCATCTCACCCATGGTTATTGGTACAGTCTAGAAGCCGTACGGCCTTCCTTGGAGCTTCTTGAACACGTGAAGCAGCATTTGAGGCGACCCGTTTGGATCAATGCAGACATCCTACCAGGACCTAATGGAAATAATACTGTAGTGGATGCAAAAGAGTTCCTCGACACTGTCACTTCATGTTTCCCAAATGTAACCTTATCGCTGGGATGGACAACTGGCTGGCACCCTGGGAAACACAATAAAGGTAAAGATAGCCGATTTAATACCTACACTGCATAGTCTATTTTCTTCAAATTGACTTCATAATTGATTCAAAGTAAGTTATATGCCACCTGGTCAGTTTGAAAATAATAGTGAACGTAAGAAGAATTATTGTCTTTGTTGGTGTACATTTGGTAGTGTTTTTTAGCAATTAGTTCAAAGTTTGAGTTGTAGCAGAACTGTATAAAAAAAATGATGCTTTTGTTGTTAAACAGTATTTTGTTCTTCAACTCATTCGCACGTATTGAGGAATTTTTGGGGACAAACTGCTTCCGCCCTGTTTCACGTAGTCTGCTCCCCAAATCCTAGGAGGATTGGTTTCGTAATCGGAATTCTGGCATGTTTCATGAAGAAAAATACATTAGCTGGAAATTTAAAACCCTATCAATGTGCTTTTGCAGTAGATAACTGAAATCAAATTGTAGGTCAACATTGTTTTTAACATTTCATTTCTGTTGAATAATGGAATTTTTGCAATAAATTTTCCAATTAGCCATTATTTTAGGGGCCTTTTCACAGGCATCCTCTCATAATTCTCGTAGCTGCTTTGTTAGGGTGTTTTACTCCAGTGCATATGCATTTGTGTGCAGTAGCGCAGTCCCCACCAATATCATCTGTGACCACAACGGCAAATTTATACACCATTCCAATTGCTAATTATTCATTAGCAAGATTTAGTGTTGTGTTATGAGGATTTTGTTGCATGTTAGACAGTAATTTTATTAAACTGTATAGTACTTTCTCCAAAGTACTTTCAGCGCAGTAAAAAGTTGCTGGAAATATGTATTGGAAATACTGTACTGAGTAACCTTTTTCAATAAATGTAACTTTTCCTCCATTCTAAATTTCAGTTTATGGTGATGCTAATTAAGGGTAGACTGTAAGACATGAGAAAAACAGCTTATTTGACTGATTTCAACTGAAAGTTGCTGTTTGCCCAACAAAACCTTTTTTTTTTAAAGATTTGGTGCTTTTTTAGTCTTTCCAGTCACTACATTGTATATGAGTAATTGAGAAAAATATATCAACTGTTGTTATTGAAGTTAAGACTTTCATAGCCTGTAGAAATAAAAGAACAGTTAAATACCATTTTAAATAGCTCCAGTGCTTGTAAAAATCTCAATGGCAGGCACTTCAAGTGTTTTAGATTGCTTGATTTTAGCATTTTTTAGCACAAAATGTTTTACATGCTTCATTTGTGTGTAACTCCAGTCCTACTGGATTCATTCAATTTTTTTTTCTAAATTTTTCATAATGTTTTTGTTTTTAAAGGGTCACTGTCGAGTTAAAACTAGTCCGTATTGAAGTCAGTGGCAGCAGTGTTTTTTAGAGAAAGGGCAAAAGTACAATTTCCTGGACATTAAAAAATGTCACATTCTGTAGCTATATGTAAAATAACACTGCAGTTACTGGAAATAAAGATTTTCAAAATAAGTTTATTTTTCCACGTTAGTATTGCCTTTCTGCTCTGGGACAATGACATTTTTTATTTATAATCATTTGGCGATTTCATTTTAGAATTACGTGATTTTCACAAAACCCATATTTGCTCCTGTTTTGTCTTACAACCTAACCATTCTATAAATCGTTGTGTCTTTATTTTGATAGAGATTGTATTTTTGAAGAATTCTTTTTAATCAAATGGTCTTTACTGTAGGCTATGATTGGATGATGGTGAGAGAAATGGCTCAGATATGCAATACACTTTCCCAGCCTGTAACTTTCCCTGTGAGAGCAGCATTAGTACGACAGTCAATATCTGAGCTGTGTTGGTTAATCCAACAGTCGGATAGGTAAGTTTGAGGGCCTTTATTTTTAGCTGTATTTATAATAAAGACTTCATAATAAAGGCACATATTTGTTTATATTAAGTATAGCACATTTATGTGTATATACTTACCCCAATTACATTGAAAATATTTTTTCTTCTGATTTATTCCTTCAGTTCTTTAATTCCTTCAGTTCTTAAACTGTTTTGTCTCACAGAAGTGGTCACTATTAATTTCCTTAAAATAATAACATTATTATAAAAAGCCTCTTTCATTACCTATAATAAATAATTTTAAATCTTGAGTAGGTTTGTAATCCAGTTCCACTATAAACATTTCATGAGACTAATATAGCTAAATAGACTAAATAGTTTGATGTTGCAATTTGGAATTAATTCATTTTAAATACTTATATTTTATATATACTTTTTATTGGATTCAATGTTTATATTTTCTGTAGTAATGTCACTTAAAAACATGAAAGGTCATTTTTAGATTGGAAGTCAGCAAGTTTGCTACGAAGCTAGTTAATTTTGCTTAGGTACTTGAAATACAGGCAGTAGTTTCCAAACACTGACTTACATTTTCTTTTAAAAATTGATCGTACAAACCCATAACAATTTCATTAAAAAAATATTTGCTTGTAATAGAATGAGAATGAAACCTGCTTCATTCATATTGTCATTTACTCATCGTTTTCACCTACTCTGCCTACCTACACTTTAATAAAGTTGTTCCTTAAGCACCAACCAAGGTCAAAGCCCAAGACAGAAAATTTAAGACAGTCACTTGTCTGGAAAATTTCTAAGTAATTAGAAACAACAGGATGGACAAATAAAGTGTTGTTATTCTTGTTTACACTAGAGAATCAAGAGAGAAATTAGAATTAAACATTTTAAACTGGGAAATTAATTTCAAAGTATTGTTAAGTTAAGAATATGTCTTGTGAATTGTGCCATTCTCAAATATATCCTCACTGGATACAAGCATTATTACCACTGAATCATTAGGGTTTTCTCCTTTACCTCAGCATAAAAATCCTTATTTTTTTAGTGGCATGATCAGAAGACAGAAATTCCTGAGTTTTGCTGACATACAACTAAATTCTGATTTACCTATATTTTAGATTAATACAGTTTTAATAAACAAAGGGAAGAAGAAGTATTTGTCGTGTGGAGGTTGTGGAGGGTAATGCTTTTAACTTTAAATGATACTTTGAAGTTTGGGGTTTTTTTAAGTTATAATAAAGTGTGCAATTAATGAGAAAAGTGTATGTGATGCAGTACAGAAGATACATTCAGTTAATCAGTTGGCATTACTACACATCAGTTAGGTGACAAAACATAGAGTATGAAAATCACCTACGACTGAGATTGCTTCATATTTTCTGTTCTACTGCTCTGCTTTTAACTATTTATTACTTCGTCAAACTTTCAATGCTCAGCCTGGTAAATTTCTTTGCTGGATATCTGCCTAAGATTTTTTATTTTACTCATTGCTAGGTTTGGCAGAACAGTTCACACAAGGACCAGGCTACAGATAAATTGTTCTGGGTGGTGTAGGATTGTCCATCTTAATTTTGCAGTCCTCCTTGGGAAGTTCTAGCAAGTTTAGCTTTAGGAGAAAGAAATTGAAGTTTGACTGGAGCCAAATTGTGTGAGTTACCTCCATAATGAGGAAAAAGAAAATGTGGCAAAGGAATAGACCTCTGCAAATTTTAGTTTGCATGTGTCAAATAGAGGTTTATTTGAAGACTATCAGTCGTATCCTTCAGATAGTCAGTCCGTACCAAGCATTCCGTGCGCCCTGTGTGCCAATTAGGATGTGTTTGAGGATGCCTGTTTCTGGGGTAGCATTTTGATCCAGCAATTGCTTTTTCCGGTAACTGGAAGTCACCGTGGTAACAAGAAGATTGGAGAGACTCTCAGTGCTCTCAGGTGTAGCACAAATGCAGGGTAAAGGGTGATGACTTGCCTGAATGTAGAGGGGTGAGGATGGCAGGGACATATAAAACTGTTAACTCTGATGGTTCATAAATTGTGGTTGTTTAACTTTGAAATCTGAAGTTTTTGGTATTTAATTACATTCCTAAAATTAAGATACCATAGTCCTGAATATTTTTAGGAGTTTATTAGTGCAATGTCTTTCTGTCTTACATGTTTTATCTTAAGATAATAACATATTCTTTTTCCTCTTTTTTCTCTTTCTCGTTTCTTTTTCCTTTTTTTTGATACAGGTACAGCCTCACTGTTTGGACAGGAAAGGAAGATGTGTATTCTGTAGAAGATTTGCTTTACATCCGAGAAAACTTTGATAAAAGTAGAGTTTATTATGACATTTTAGAGCCACAAAATTCTGAATTCAGAAAAGCCATAGGAGTAGAATAGTAAATACAAAGCAGGCAATGTCTGACCTTATAATACTTAGCCTCTTTAAACATGAAGATTTCTTGTTCAGAGAAATGCATTTTCCTTACCAAAAGAATTGTATAGAACACACCTGTGGTTATTGGAGGAGTGTTTGTATAACACTATTGAAAGGCTTCTCAAATAGAAATTTAATGCCTTCTTAATTGTCACTTACTCATCATATGCATGTTCCCTCTCATTCACCCAGTGGCGTGTGGTAAAGGCTACTCACATTACCTAAATATTCCAGTACTTCTTCCCTGCAAGCACATAAAGGGGAGAACGGCCCCAGCTGGTAGTTGTGGACCCAGGTAATTTGCTACTAACTGCTTTCATGTAAGCCAAAGTCTATGGGACACTCAATCTCCAGTAAAGCCTGTTTTCGCTTTTTATAGGGGAGGCCAAGAGTCAAGACTGTATTAAGTACAGGACTATGCAGTTCCCAAAGGGGTTATTTCATTGCAATTGATAATGTTCTCACTCCTCCTCAATAGAAGATTCTGTTTGCTAGATGTGAAGAGCGGGATCTGTGATGCTACACATTCCAGGGAGAAAGAATGGTTATTTTTACTGAATTAAAACTAACGAGGTTCTCTGCAGCGTGGTAATTTTGCGTTCCACACCATGGCTTGCCTCCATGCTTTCTGAGCCATCAGCAACGTAGCCCTCAGATTGTGGGAAGGCCGAGTTGGAGTTGTAGCTGCGCTGTAGGAGGTGCTGGGGCAAACGGAACCCCCAATATGAAGAATAATCCTGTCCTGTATGTAAAGCAGAAAGATGGATTACAGTGAGGTGCACATCAGAGACAGCATTAAAAGAGCTATAGTGGTTTGTAAGATAGAGAAGTGCTGGTGGTTCTTTCAAGAGTTATAAACTAAATTTTAAGTATAGCAGGAGTTCTGTAAAATGTTCTGCTGCAGTCTTTCTGAAAGCCAGAGGCTCTAAGAATGAAATAGCTGTACAGTGATTAGTGCTTACAGCAAAAATTGTACATTTATGTGATAGTACAGTTATTTTCTACATTCTCCTGGATTGTGCATCTTTTTAACTCTCAGAATATGATTTCAAAAATTTTCAAAAGTTGAACTTCCCTTTGAGAAAAATGGAAATCATTGCAACCCGTATCACCTGCAGGAAAAGTCCAACCAATTTAAGCATTTTTTGACTCTCTTGCTTCTGCATCCCTTAAAATGAATACATATATTGAAATCTGTGCAGATTGAAACACAAGCTGTGTATTGTTGTCTTTTGCCAAACATTACAAAGTTTTTTATTTTCACGACGACAGAGGAGATTTTGATTTCTGAATGAAAGCTGATTCTGTGAAGAGACACTACCCTGGCATCTTCTTGCCCTCCTCTTCCCATTCCTCTTGCATGCATGATTTTTTTAACTTTGATGTTTTACACAAGAGTGGACAGGCTGTAGTACTAAAGAGTTACAGCAAGTTTTGGTTCTTACAGCTTTTTTTTTATAGTATTAATACAACTGTGATAGAAAAGTTAGTTATATTTATTAATCCTAAATCTTGAAATATAGTGATTTCATGCAGTCATTAAAATTCAGGGTTCCTTGTTGTTACCTACAGCCCCTTTGCCAGGTTTATCTAATAATTGTTTTACGTTATTGAGGGGTAGAGCTTTCATCATTTTTGTCACCTCCTAAGATATACTTGGGTAAAATTAGGAAATGTTTTTCCAAATAAGGAAGAAAACTATCTAGTTGTGCTTGGAATAGTTAAACAGAGTACTTAATTTAATTTACAGAATCGGGCAATGTGAGTGGCAGTAACCATCAAAAGGTCAAGTTTGGCAGTGTGATTCCTTTTAATGAATCGGGAGGAATTATTTATTTTTTAGTTCATCATGACAACGTGATCTGATCTGAACAGATTTAACCTCTCAATTCTTTATAGCATCTGTTTCTTTGAGCTTTGCATGCATACTTTGCTATACCATGGGAGGAAGAGAGATTAACCGTTTCCTAACTGATCATGACTATGGAAAATACTTTAAATACTTCAAAGACCCTTTTCTAACCCAGATCATTTTGACTAAAACAGGTTCAGGAGCTATTGCGTGAACGGGCGTGCTAGCAGATCTGATCATGTGGTATCCTTTTCTGGATGATGACCCTTTCACCTAACTCCCCTTCAGGGAGAACAGGATATATGAATGACCAAAGCTCCAGATAAACCAAAGTTATAGACATTGCTTGGAATCTATAGTACATGCAATAAACTAGTAGGAAATAGTATAGTTCAGAGGTTTTTATTTTCTGGGATATACCATTGAACAAGAAGCACTTTGGGGACATCAGCCAGCTTTTGGAATCAAATGCAACATAGCTACATTAGCCAAAATGAGTCAGGCAGGTGTCTGAATAACAGAATTTGCTTTTGAGGGACATAAAGGAAATAGCTTGAGGACCCATCGCTGTAGCCATGTTCATTTATTGAATGAAAGGTGCCATTAAAGAGCACTGAGGTTTTTGTATTATTCTTACTGAACACTTTACTAGTTCTAGGCTTAGTCTAGATTTCTTTTCAAGATACTGCTGGTCATTCAGAAGCAGCAATACTTTCTAGCCATACATTTATTTCTAATAGATTTAAAGACGAGTATCTTGTCGTCCTTTTGTTCCACAATTTGTATAAAAGTTTAGGACTGGAATGGGCTCCTAGATCTTGTTTCAGCTCCTTGTTGCAGGCAGTTACATTTACTGACTTGAGGGATTTCATCTTTCAGTTGGCTAGGCCTTTTTGCATCTGAACTGACAGACTTTTCTGTTATCTAGAAACCTTTTTCCCACTTATCAATAACAACCTTAAGTATTAGTATTAGGAAGTAATAAACATTATCAGCAACTGCCAGAAGTATTTTTAAGGGTGCAGACATCATGGAAGGAGTATCACTGAGCAATATATGTGGTATGACAGATACACTAACAGGGATATGTAGATAAATTTAAAAGAAGACGTGATCAGGATTACCAGAAAAATTAATTAAGGTAACAAGACAGTAAAACTAGATTAAACAGAATGCTAGAAATGAACTCCATGAAGCATTCTTGCAGTGAAAGAAGGGTTTGACTATATGGTGAATTTGTTTATTCTGTATGGATCATCCTATATATCTGAATTTTTGTACATATTCTTTTTTACACGTCAATCTCTTAGTTTCCTGTGAAGTCATTTATATTGTTTATGTCAGTCTGGTCTGACTTGCACGTAAATAAATTCATTCGAATCTGTTTCTCTGTTTTCATGCCAGTCTTCATACAAACGCTCTCCTTGTAAAATAAGATGTGTTAACTGCGGGGCTGGCAATAAGGTAATAAAGGTGAGGTGAAAGCCAGTTATTTATTCTGTTGGAAGCAGGGATCTGTGGCAGTTTGATGTTATTCCAGCTGTTGCTGTCTTTTTTTGACAGTCAGTGATCTATTGCTTGTACTGAAAACTTTGTTTAGGAGCTATAAATTCTGCCACCTCTTTGTGGAATCATTTTCTCTATCAGTGTTGCTTCATGTCTGCTGATACCTTTCAGCCAGGTTTTTAGACTTAATTGTCCCTGTTACATGAAAAAAAAATGGTTGACTTTAATGGAATTAGGCATTGTTCAGGATGTCCAGGTGAGTTAATCAATTAATAAAACTTTTCTAATTTACTACAAGTGTAGTTCAAGCTTTGTATTTTTCTGTGAATTTGATGGAACTTACTAAATAGATGAAATAACTTGTTACAGAAGAGAATTGACATCATTAGTCCTGCACAACTACTCAGTAATATCCTGCAGTAACATGTGAGTATACTGATGAAAGCAAAACAGAAGCTGATTTTCTGAGGTTTTTATTGTTTAAATGTGCTGTGGAATGAAAGAGAATGCCCCCAAAGGTATGTTTTTCGAAAGCAGTTCTCCCCATCTTCATCTTCAGCATTCATTTGAAGAATTATTCGGTTTTGGCCTACTCTGACCAAAAAAAACCCCACCCCAAACCTGTCTTTTTCTTCAATTAAAACCTTCAAATTAAAGCCTTTTATGTTTTGTCAGCCAGCTGTCTGTGATCAGGCCATTTGCTAGTGTTACTACAGATTTATTTCTGCGCTGTCCATTAAACCCTACTTAATGTTTGAGTCCAAGCACTGTAAATCTGTCACTTGCGATTTTTATTGTGCTTTGTTTTGGATACTGAAGAATTTGATTCCAGCACCTGGCTCCTGCTGTCTGTTTGATACCAGCAGTGTTTGTGCAACAGCCCCGGGAAGCTGTGTTTGAACCTTCCGAGTTCCCTTGTGCAGAATCGGGTTTACACAAACCTCCACTTCTGCAGCCCACCATCAGGAATTTTTGTCATTGGTGATTTAAGAAAAACAATTTTTTGTGTTGATGCTCACAGGCATTTATTCTTTAGTTCATTTTTTGTTGCAGGGATGTCTATTTCCCCATGCAGTGTGATTCCCTGATGCCCGGGCTAATCTTCAGTGTACTAACTCGTTATATTTACTCTCAGTTTTACCAAGAGCTTTATCTATAAATCTTGTACTAACCTATGTGCAAAAGTAAGGGCTGCTAGATAACATCCAAGCCAGGGTGTTGTATTAGTCTTGAGTTCTTTGCCTCTTTTCCAGGGCTTTGGTGGATGAGTTTTGGTGTATGTCTTTGCAGTGAAGTAAGATGTTACTACCTTCTTCTACCTACTACTACTTCTGATATATCTTTTTACTGCAAATTACTGTAATTATTGTGTTACTACCCTTTTAGTAGCATGGTTGAAGAAAATACTCACTCCACACTGCAGTTACTCCAGATTGCACCGGGGTATTAAGGTCCATGTTCCCCCATACAGGAGCAGTAACTTCTGGCAGATTGGTGCAATAAGCAGCTGGGGATAACGTCTTAGACTGCCACAGCAGAGCGTATTCATTAAAAACCCATAGTAAAGAAGCATTATTTTTATTGTGCTTCCAGTAAAATTGAAGGTATTGTACTCTATTGTCTTCTGAGTTTTGAACATCTAAATTTCGGGGGCAATTATATGTTGGTTTTAATATCCTTACGGTTTGGCTTGGTTCCCCTGAATTTTTCAGTGTCATCATAGCTGTTGCTTTCACTGCCTAATTGTGATTCCTCTCATTGTGGTAGCAGAAAAAAACTGCATATGCAAATTCATAATCTCAATGGGGATCTGTCCAAGCAGAATTAAAAGGTAAAAGGTGTTCTCGTTACTGTGTTTTTAAAATCTACAGGTCAAGTTCATATTTTAAAATGGACTAGCTTTTGACAGAGAAGGCTGTAACTCGCGCATCTGTGGCAGCTTGTGAATGTCTTCAAAATTGCTAGCTGATGCCTTCAGGGAAAAAATACAGGAATTAATTACAGTTCATCAGCATGCATCTGCGTCTGGCTTTCAGAAATTTGGGAATAAACTGGACTGTATACAATTCTAAAAAAAAAATCTTCACTGTTCAATTTCAGATCTGGGCATGTTTTTTAAATGGCTGAACATAAATTCACTTTTTTTCCTGCTTGGGACAAAACCTCTGAACCAACGTTAGATCTACAGCGTGGTGCCAGAACAGGAGATGCCGTCTTTACGATTAAATTTAAAATAGTGGTTTTGACCTCATGTTGATAACTCTGAGTCTTCTGGTGCTTCCTTAAGTGCTGGACTGTTGGTACCTTGGCTTCCTGAATCCCAGTGTAGATGAGCAGCACGGCTGAAGCAAGCCCTGCTTTGAGCTGGGGGTTGGACGAGACCTCCAGAGGTTCCTTTCAGCCTAGATTTTTTTTTATGATTTAATGACACATTTCACCTGCTGCTGCACAGCACATACTACCGTAGAGGATTACTATGGATGCAAAAGGAGTTTTAAGTAATTCTTCTGTAATTCCTGTAGTTTGGAATCGAAGTCCTCGGGTTCTGTTGCCCATTTTGTACCAGCAAAAAGAAGCAGGCTTATGTTTTAATTGTGTGAAATGCCATGTCAAGAGAACCCGAGGATCTACGCGCGTCATCGGCCAAGGAGACGCCCGTCTCAGATAACAGGTGTCCTTGTTTGAAGGACAGGAGTTTTGCAGGAATTTTGCAAGTATGTATGTATATATTAAAATAAGGTTAACTTGTGTAAAGGAGTACAAGACCTATTATCTTTTAAAAAGGATTAATAGCTGGGTATTTTATCAGAACAATTAGTCAAAAAAATTGGAATTGTATCCCTTTCACTCTGAAAAAAAAAACCCAAACCCCAGTTTCCTGAAGATGTATTCTTGTCAAACCTGATCTCCTTGAAGGCACTGCAGTGCCAGTAATACTTTAAGGTGAAAATGTGTGGGTCGAAAATGTTTTAAAACAGGCATTCTTCCCTCTAGTTCTGGACTTCAGCATTATTTTTTTAAAAAAAAGCTTGTCCCTTTTATGAATACAGCGTTAATGTTTTCAGTAGGATGGTTGGTTGTGACTTAATGTTGGCCTTTCTGTAACAAGCCATGCTCTTGTTACATGAACAAAATAGCCAACTAATGGAATAATGGTTTACTAATGCAAGAATTCATTTATTTATAAATACCTGATGTTAGCTGGAAAATGAGTTGTGCTGCATAACAGATGCAGAAAGATGAAGGTCTTATTAAGGATTGATGAGGAAAAAGAAAAAAAACAGGAATGTAGTGACTGGTTTACTTTACTATTTTTCTTGTGTAGCTACATCAAATTATGGCAGTATTCTTTTGGAAGTGCTGCATAATTGTAAAAGACAAAAATCAAAACAAAGCAACTCCAAATGCCTTTCTCCTTAAAGCAAAAAGTGCAGGGAAGGATATTTCAAAAACTGTAATTTGAACACCACGCCTTAAACACAACCTTGAAAACTGCTTTTTTACAGCATTCTTGTGTAGTGACTTACTGTTACTAAATTTCTTAAACCAAAAAAGGAAGTTTTTTAGATGATCGCTGTTTTTCTGTGAGGCAACCACTCTTTGTCTAGAAGGTACTTTCATTGTATGGTTTCACAGCATTTTGCAGAGAAAATGAAAACCAAAAGTAGAAGAATATTTTTTACCTTTCTAAACTTACCACGTAGATTCAAAATCAGTAATCTCGTAGGTAGCGTATTTTACCGAAAGCTGTAGCGTGTGGTGACGGGAATGCTTGCTCACAGAAATGCCACTTCCATTTCCTATAGTTTAAAATATGAATGTTTAAGGATTTATGTCATTAATCTTTCTGTAAGTTAGCGTGGATGAGCTTCACTGATTTTTCACTGTAATGTCTGAGAACTAGTCCAGATGGTTCTCTCTGGATGGGAAGCCACAGCTCTTAAAAGAAAAACTAGCAAGGAAAAAGTTTCAGTTTGTGGTGTTTTCTTTATCAAGATGCATAAAGAACGCCTGAAAGGTATTTTGTTGTTTGTAAACGTTAATGTTGGGCGGGGTGAGATTTACATTATAAATTCAGGACTGCATTCCCATTCTTTGCTTAAAAGACATTATGGGTGACGGGAAAATGACGAGGATTAAGACTTCAAAGATGGCAGAAGTGTATCTCCACTGAAGCGGAACAACAGTAAGCTACCGACAGACTGAAAGAGCCTCCCTCACACAATGCTCTGTACTAATTTAGCTATGTTGGATTAAATCTAATTAACTGTTCCAATTTTCCTGTATAGAGACAGCCTGAGAAACACACAGAAGCAAGTACCTTTGGTAGTGACTCAGCGTCTCCTAAGTGGTGAATAAAAGGATGTCTATTTCCATATTCCCTGAATGGGGGAGAAAACGAACTTTTATTTATGCATCATAACAACATCAAGAGAACAGAACTGAATTGTTTTTCCTGTGAAGGTCACTTGTAACATTGATGCAACAATAAACATTAATGTTAACCTTTCACATTACTTCTGCGTCACAATTAAGCACAAAATACTGGCAACACTACAGAAGAACTTCACTTCTCAAGACATTTGCCATTTTCCTCCACTGTCTGAGCATTTTGTAAAAAAGTTACCGTTTCAGTTGAGGGAGCAGTAATCCCATAGATGTAATTAATTCTGAAATCAATATAGCAGAAATGGGGCTTTATACCTTCAGCGAAGATACCAGTTAGTTAGAACGTCTGACCTATTAGCTGATTTTTTCTAAAGAATAATTTGTATTTTTTTAAAGATATATTTTTAGCTTCAAATATTTAACTTCATTGCGAGATCAACAGACTACAAATTGCCGATCCCATTTATAGTATCATAAAAGCATTTGAAAAG